CGCACACGCGCACACGCACACGCACACGCACACACGCAGTCAGCTGATCTCATCTGATGCAGATCTGCTCCTTGATCAAGAAACATTTGTCCGGATTTTTGGCACGAGTGGCGTCGGATCAGCACCGCAGCTGGACGGCCCGATTTACATACCCAGCGCAGCTGATACTCACCAGAAGAATTTACTAAAATGATGCACTCCTGTTATTAAGTCCAGTTCAGTCTGTTAATGTTGATAATGGTTTCAAACGAACGTTCATAGGTGTGTTGCTGAGCCTAATAACTTAAACAACAAACTTGAAATGTACCCGTCCCATCTTTATTGTTTCTCTGTGCTGTAAATCTTCTGTCTAAGAAGAAATCTGAGGCTGTTCTGAGAACGAGCTGCCAAAGCTTTTTCTGAATGAATCAATAAAGATCCATTTATGGAAAGTTGGGATGAAGGCAGTTTTGTCTTTAATTATATTCAACAATATAACATATTTGACCACTTTTAAGTGATTTTTCTAACTTTAATACACTAAAGTTAAGGTTATATATCTAATTTTTAGTAAGTGGCCCAGACCCTCCTATATTTTTATGTATGTGGCCCTCAGTGAAAAAAGTTTGGACACCCCTGACTTGCACTGTCTGGGTGTTTAAACAGGAGAAAACTAGTCTGAAAGTCAGAAAACCAGCAAAAAAGATTCAGCTCACAGACACTTTCCACATCAGAGAGCTGCAGGTGCTGATCCTGACACCCGGGCTGTGGCAGGTGACATCAAACCATGGTGATAAAATTTGAATAATTCGTTTAACTGACCAGGATTATGGTTGTGGGGGGGGGAGCATTTAATCACACTCATTCCTGTAGCTTGTGCCGCAAAACCTCAGAGGACCATCTGCCTCCATCCTCCTTCACTACATCCACGAATCTTTAACATTTCCACCATCCCTCCTCTGCACACATCCAAACCATCTCAGCCTCGCCTCTCTAACATTTCATCTCCTCACTCTCATTCACACACACCTGTTCTGACATGTTGAATCTCCAGCTCAGGTTCATTTTAATCGATCCAACCACCTCCAGCTTCCAGAAACATGTAAACGCGTTTTACTCACAAAGCGATTTTCTTTGCCTTTGGTGTCTTTGCAGCTCGCCGTGAGCGCCTTCTCGATGTCTGCGCTGTTAAACTTTACATCCTTGTCCTTCAGCGACTGATAAAACTTCCCCAGGAAGGTCACGCACACTGAAACAGGAAAACAAAAGTCAACTCGACGAGCGGTTAAATCTTTGTGTAGAAAGAAAAACACAAGCCAGTCACAACAAAGTCCCTCATCTTATTAAATATGTAGTACCGTACAATCTATATATAGATTAGATTTTCCTTTATTTAAAAAATAATTGGGATGTTTAAAATGTGACGACTTCTTATTCATTTTTTCCCTCATTGAATAAAAACTGAATTTGACACTTTGTCAGATAAAAACTTAGATTTATGTTTTCCACAAACAGTCTGTCATCATACAGAAATGACAATTTCCAGATTACAAAACCTTTAACAAATTCTCCAAAACAAAACAAAAAAAAAAAAAAAAAAAAAGGAAAAAATTAAATGTTGGGAATCGGACGTATGGAGCCGTCTGCAACCTGAAAGAGTAACTGAAAGCAGCAGAGATTTACGATAGAAACAACTTATTCCATATCAGGAATGAAGGAGAACAACTAGATGCAAATACTGACACTCGCAGCCTTTCTGAAAAGACCCTGCGGACTTTAATTGGAATTTGCTGTGAGACTGAAAGTTAAATTCAACAGTCAGTGAGAAATAAAACCTGCATGTCTAGAATATCCAGTCAGAGCTGATTAAAACACGAATAAGGTTTAAAATGGCTTATTTTATTATTTTATTTAAGTTAGACCACCACCAGACCTCAGGATGATTCCCACTGGTGGGTCAAAAAGTGATTTCCAGTATTTGTATTTTGTATTTATTTATTTATTGTCATTGTCAGAGAACAATGAAATTGCATTTGGGGCTTCCGTACGACCCGTAAATAAAATAATGAAGAAAATAATAAATACCCCTTAAAACCCAAGTGTAAATATTTAAACTACTGTAAATGACTTGTTGGCCTACAACCTCTGAACCATATGTCAAACACACCTCTCCTGATAGAAACAGAGATGGCATGCTATTTTAAGCCAGAAGGAATATTTCTGTCATGGGTAGAAGCTCCATCAGTCTCTGTCAAAGCGACTCTAATATATTCTTTATTTATAAATGTAAAACTCTCATTGACATTAAAAAGAGAGATCAAGCCAAGAGAGCAGCAGGAAGTAGAACAAATGTAACATAACAGTTATATTGAGATAGTTTAAGTGGCCAAGAAGGACTGGCTTGTTTATAATGTGGAACAGTATGTACAATAGTTATAAAGTCATAATGATACCTGCAAAACACGTCATTTTATTTTATATCCAACCTATTGGCCCATCCTGTTGATGCTGACTATTTAGAAATATGAGCAAAGATATTAGACTTAAAAAAAACTCACTTTGTGGCACAAACTGGGATCCTGATAGGCCCCTGACTTTAAGGCTCGTTGGTTTTTACACTTCCTTTACATGTTCTCAAACACAAACACGTGGTCACTTTTTAAGGTGATTTCCAACCTGGCTACAACAGCCAATCCAACCATTTCACAGGTGAAGCTTCAGACTTTTACATCCTGATGTTTGATTCTGTGTCAGCCTGCAGATATCCCGTCTGTGGCTCGCGCTCACAGGATGCTGCCAGGTGTGTCTGCAGGTGAGTTTTGGTTTACTGGAAGTGATGAAGCTCGTTATTCTGGTAACACGGGAACATTAGCTCTGGATGCTTCCTCCCCCCTCTTTTTGGAATAGTGACACCCCTGTAAACACCAGCTCCGCTCCCTTCGCCACGGTAACCCTGGCAGTGGAGTTTAGACCGCTTTCGGGTGGAGGTCTTTTAAAAGTTGTTGAACCCTGGTCGCTGTAGCTAAGCTAACTGAAGCTAGCACACGGACCTACCTTCACAGTCTCCTTCCTTCAAGGCTTCGGAGGAACCCGGCACGAGAGCGAGGGCGAGCGCCACCGACAACCCGCTCAAACACAACATTTCTGCGAGGATAAACACTCAGAATGCCGCCCGGTTAACCGCTGTTGGACAGGGAGACTCCGCACTCATGGACCACAGCCGCTTCTGCACAGACGCCGGTAAAGTGAACAATCAGTGTGGTCTTTCCGGCGCCACGTCACGCTACGCCAGCACCTCATTGGTCGAGAAGTCCGACTCGTTCCGGAGTCCTCCACGCATTCGTCTCTGATTGGACGGAGACAGAGCATTCCGGGGACAGCGTCCAGTTGGCGCCGGCTGATTGGTCCACACCCTCACCGTGCTCCCATAATGTATGTCAGCAGAAGGCGACTAGTGGCCCGTTATGGAGGACAAACAATGCCACATTTACGAATAAATACACAACTAGCTTTATAAAAACGACATTGTTAGTGTAAAGGGACAATCACAATACCGTTATCTTACTTTAGGAAATAAATAAATAAATTACAAAACAGCCTGACAAAAATGAAACTGGTGAAATATAGGGATACATTTTGATTTCATCATTTTTATTATGAAAGTTTGTATTTAAGATTTTCATTGTTAGTCTTGACATTTATCCAAGTATTTATTAGTCTATTTATATCATTTTTCATCCTCCATGGCTCAGATGTGTCTGTGATATTAAATCCCAGTTTACATCTTCTATTTGATGATTAAAAATATGATGAAACTCTTCTGTTGGGCAGAATCGGGTAAGCATAGAAAGTAATCTCTCCTACAACAAAATACTGGCCCAACCCAGTTTTAGGGAGAGGCAAAATTGTAGTGCAAAAGCTGCGGTTTGGTTGCAGGTAGGTCAGAGAAAAATGAAAAATGAATGGCTTGGTAAATGGTAAATGGTAAATGGCCTGTATTTATATAGCGCTTTACTAGTCCCTAAGGACCCCAAAGCGCTTTACACAACCTGTCATCCACCCATTCACACACTGGCTTCATCAACAGTTCACAGCGTTTACTGTTTACAGTCAGAGACTGTGTTCTGAGAGCTTCCTGATATAAACATGGCTTTTCACCTGGCTATATCACCTTGGTAACACAGTAATACATCACCTGGTCTGGAGCAAGGTAGGTTCATTTTTATCTTAAAATCAACTGAAAGTGCCACATTTTCCCTGATTGGTACAGCAGCTCAAACTGTGCCTCACACTGTCACTGGAGATTACATGTATTATTTTGGTGAAGCAGGAAATATAGAATGTTTTTATAGTTTACTCACACAGACTATCTATTCAATCAGATAAATTTCCCTTTAATTTGTGACAGAAGCATTTTTCACGTTTGCGTTTTTAGACTGTGGGACTTTTAAATGGATCCAGCTTAAACTCTAATGTGAGGCTGGAGTTAAATTGTTTTAGTGTGCCAAAACACACGTTTAGCATTTTTATGGAACAATAATTTGTCATATTGCTGCAGTGTTGCATTTACTGTTACTTTTATTATGTTCTTTATAGATTTTAGACACCATTTTATCATGATATAACTTATCACTCAAGCAGGTGACACTCATGGGGATCAATTTGTACACAAGACACGGGAAATGCCCCTTTTTGTGAGTGCGCCCAGAGCCTAAAGCAGAGAGCATGGCTTAAGAGACAGTTGTTGATAACTGCCATCTGTGACTGTGGCTTCAGGGTTTGTGTTGAAATTCTTTTATTACTTCCTGTAAACTCCGTGCGAGCATGTTAGAAAAATCTCTGATTAGCTTCATTGACACGAGTGAAGACGACGAATTCTCCATTTTTTACTTCTTTATTGAGTGAAATTAAATCCAGACGGGCGACTCCTGAAGTCGCCACAAACACCAAAAACAGAATCACACTTGGCATGACAAGTTTGCGTGTTCCTGTCTTCTGCAAGACCCAGCACCAGGAGCTTTGGCAACTTCATTTGTAAACCGAAAACAAAGAAAGAAAAGTGATCCACAGGGCACAAACAAAGAGAAAGGCGAAACTAAAGCGAAACAGCTGGCTGTGACGAGTTTCTGTCAGATTTAGTAAAAATCACAGAAAGACAAACAGAAACATTAAACGTGGGTTAGTCTATTCTGTGGCCATCAGCCACAACATTAAAGCCGCCTGCCTGACACGGTCTGCACACCTGCCGACAGTCAGGCTCCAAAATACGACAGCTTCTGGTTATCAGAGTTACTGGATACGAAGCATCTTTAAACAAATCTGAGAGAGTGTGCTATCAAAACACGTTGGATTCAAATATAATCCACTTCAACACGTTTGAAGTGCAGTCGAAGGCTCTGGGCCTCATTTCTGGATTATTTTTGTCACATTAATCTCACCGTCTTGTAGTTAGTATCAAATTTTTTTCTACATTTGTAGGTATGTGTCCTTTCACTCACCCGAAGAAAAAAGAAAGACAAAAAAAAGTTGAATTTTTATAACTTAATGATTTTTCTAACATTCAAAAGTCACACCCTCCCCTACTGCAGGCACAGCGGGCAGCCGTGCACCTCTGGTTGTGGGTTTACAGGCTGACACTGTGTCACTGACCCACTAAACCAAACTTATACTGAATGTATGACAATTATTCAGAATAACGTTTAATCTTCATGCAAATTTATGAGAATTTCATGAGAAAAACAGCAACCTGTCTCTGTGCATTAGCCCTGTGACAGACCTGCCTCTGGCCCTATGTCAGCTGGAAAAGCCTCCAGCCCCCCGGCTCCACCTCCAGAAAGGTGGGTTAAAGTTAATGCTAGCAGAGCGCTAGCAGGATGTGCTTGGACCAGCTTTGAAACGGCAGCCTGTGGCCCCCGGGGCTGGTTCCTATGGGCTCAGGGGCCTCTGTGAATTGGGCTCCCACAGACCCTCGATCGGGCCAGGAGCTGTTTTGTTTTGCTGCTGTAACAGAGCATGGGAATATAACAGACGTGGATTAACAGAACGTCACAACTTAACATGTGGATCTCACCTATGAGTGGTTCTAATGTTGTGGCCAACCTTTGTCCATTTAAATGAAACTTTTATTCCTAACTCTTCCTTCTACAAGCACCTTTCCTACTTTCCTCCAAGGCCAACTTTTCTTTCATCGACAGAAAAAAATACCCTTGTTACGGTCTTATCATTTTCCTTATCTGACATAATAATAGTGGTAATAATAAATCTGACTCTAAGTGTACATCATCTCAGCCATGTGCGACATCTTTTTGGGGATGTATAAATAATACTCCATGTAGCCAGAAAGGTCCTCTATTGTGATGTCATCCACGTAGGCGCGCGCCTGCTCTGAGCAGGAGCGAGGGGAGCCTGACGACAGCGCCGGAGACGCTGCCGCGTTACAGCTGAGAGTTCTGGATGCTTCCTCGCTGCTCGGCAGGCTCCTCTCACACTCCGATATGACGTTGCGGAGCCCCGTGAAGGAGTAGACTTCCACACCGTGCCACCCTTGACGATGGCACTGACACTCGACCCCCTGCTTGTCGTCCTCTTGAGACTCTGAGCTGCTTCTCTGGGCACAGGAACAGGCGGCGTGGGGACCCTCGGCAGACCTGCCACTGTGGAGTTCGGACAGAGCTCGGAAGTCAGCAGCCTCTGCCGGTCTGGATCTCGGGGATGTTCCCGTTCTGGTTTCGCTGCTCTGCGGGCTGCTGTCCTCACTCGACTTTCCTCCGGCCAGCCCGGACGTAGCGGTGATGATAGTGGGGATCTCTTGTGAGGACTGTGGGGAAGCCACGCTTCTAATATGTGTCTCATAAGCAGCACAGGATCCAAAAACCAGAGTGGGGACATGCCCGGGTGAGCCTGGAGAGGAGTGCTCTTTTGGGACCGGGATGGCCACGGGCGAGGCGGCTAGTCCGTCTGCTGCCGGACGAGGTGGGGCAGGCTCAGGCGCGGCCAAGCGCTGGTGCTTCGGGCAACCACTAGGGGGCGAGAGTGCAGACGCTCCGGAGGTGCTGCAGTAGGTGAACTTCGGTGGGTGGAGGATGGGCGACTTGGACCTGCGACGGCGCTGTGTTCTGGATGCTCCTCTGGAAGTTTTCCTCATGCAGCTAAAAGGACGAGAGAGAAAATCAAATATCACAAAGAAGAACTCCAAAATAAACACTCAACGAGAAAAGAGACGTCACCTGAAAGACACAACACAAAGTCTGACCTTAGAAAAAACCCTCGCTCTTATTTTTCAGTCCAGATGTTTGCTGACCTCTGAGCTACAATTCCACCCAACCCCTGATGTCAGACAGACTTTTATCTCCACCAGCCTGGATCACAGCTAGCATCTGCAGTCCTGGTTCTGTTCTGAGGATCTGCTCTGAGATCAAGGGATGTAACCAGAACCTGCAGCAGGCGGAGCGCCGGTGCCACTGTGCCGAGCTCACAGATGCTGCACATCAGAAGAAAGGCCACCAGCTGGAGAGGCAGCTGGTTACTGCTCTGTTAGTCAGTTTCATTTAATCATTTACTCTTTGCTGTAAAAAACCAAAAAGTCACCAGTGTTGGAATATCACTAGCATGAATGAATACTTCTCCACAGACTGCCACATCTTAACATTCACAACCTTCACAGGTTGTTTTTAGAACAAAAAACAAAACAAAACACTAAACATGAGGGTTAGATCTCCTCCTCACGTGTTCACGTATTTATTAAACAAGCAAACAATGCCTGACTTAAACTTTATGACTCAGCTCAGAGTTAAAATAACCAGTTTAGCCTGTTTTTTTCCTAATGACGCTGAATAAAAACCATTACACTCCACTGGATTAGAACAGTTAAAGCATCCACCAGTTAAGAAAAGTCGAACCAGAGTGTCTGAGTCCTGAGGCTGTGTTTAGGATGGAACTGATAGAACGAAACGTGCCTCCTCTTCTTTTCTGACTCAGTGGAAAAAAGCTCACAATGATGGACACAAGTATCCACACTGTCTGTTCCTGTGATCGAGCGTCTCCCAGAGAATCAGCCTACCTGTGCCAGTTGTCTTTCGGGCAGCCGAGTTTGGGCTTCGCTCCGCTTGAGTCGAGACAAGCTCGCGATGTTGCTCTGGAAGTTACCGCCTCCGAAACACTCACAGCTCCGGGCAAACTGGAAGGAGAGAGGAAGAGGAAAACAGAGTTACTGCCATGTGATTCGCTAAATAGACAAGGAGTCAAACAGGTGAACCTAATAAAGTGGCCTGTGGGGGTTTTAATTTAAAAAAATCATTTTAAAATAAATTAAAAACTTTTTTTGGCCTGTGTTTACCTCTCAGCATCAACCCTCAGCTTCTTGAATGCCATCTGCAGCGTCTCCTCCTCACAGTCCTTCCCTCCTGCCTCCATGGTGGGAGGAGGCCGCTCTGACCAGCCACCCAGCTACAAAACAGAAACACACAACAGTGTTTTGCAGATGAAGCCACACAGGTAAGTGCGCCTCACGGTTTCCTTCACAGAGATTCCAATTTTAATTAAAAGTCACATCTGTTATCAAGCGGCGCTGAGAATATGCTGCTTAGTGGGAGCAGCTGTTCAAAGAGTCAGTATAATGAAAACACTGGACGAGTAAACAATATCAGAAAATTAACTAGAACTAGTCTTTAATCAAATCTCACACACACACACACACACACACACACACACACACACACACACACACACACACACACACACACACAGAAGATGAGAAAGACAAATAATTCCAGCTCCTTAAAGAGGCATTTCTGTGTTTTCTGAGTCAACATTTTTTATTCATTTCCAAGTACCGTAACTGTCGGGCTATAAGCCGCTACTTTTTGCACAAGCTTTGAACCCTGCGGCTTTTAGTCAGGTGCGGCTTTTCTATGGATTGTCCGTGATTTTTGTCATATCGTAAGACGATTTGTTTTGTGTGTTCCGCTGTTGTACGGCACTACGTTGCCTGGCGGAAGGATCGGGGTTCAAGAGTGGTATGTTAGTCACATGTCCGTCCGCCAGGCAACGTAGTGCCGTACGAAGTAGCGCGAAAAACAAGCTTCAAAGTAGCGGTACGCGTTCAGCGGGAGTCGTGGATGATGAGCGGCGATAAACTTGCAAGTTATGCCCAAAAAGCAAGTTATGCCCAACTCCACCGGTGGATTCTGACAGCGTGGAAAAGTGTGAAAACATCCACGATCACCAACGGATTTTGAAGGGCTGGACTGCTGCATGATGGAGAGCAGGACACCGCCACGGCCCTTCAGAGGGTGTTCGACTCTGACACTGACAATGAGGATTTCTTTGGTTTTGAAAGTGACAACGAAGGAGAGAAGAAGAGTGGATGACGAAGCCATCCTGAGCCTGTTTGTATCCGACACTGGAGGAGAGGACTTTGGTGGTTTTAGTGCGCAGGAAGAAGAGAAAGATGGTGAATGACTGACTTTTCTTCTTGTTAAAGCTGTGTCACTGCACCTGAGCCTAAAAGGTAGTCCGAATCTATTTTTCTGGTGTGCTGTAGGCTACTGTTATGTACTACATGTGCAAATATGTACCCATAACTTGTTTTTCAAAATATTAATAAAAGTGATGTCTCCAAACAGCCATCTCTTTCCTGACAATTCCCTTTGTGCATATTCTCTTACATATGATGAGTCAACATTGAAACACCTGCGGCTTTTGGTCAGGTGCGGCTAATGTATGTACAAAACAGGATTTTCCCCTGATTTTAGCTTGTGTGGCTAATATTCAGGTGCGCTTTGTAGTCCGGGAAATACGGTAATTTAAATATCAGACAGACATAAGTGGTCATAAGAAGGTATTTTCTGTCTTTCTAAAAAAAATTACCAACTACTACTCCAGTAATGAAAAAATTCAACTAAAAATAAAGGCCATATTCGCTGATCCAAGGAGCTAAAATCAATTCTAAAATAAACAATAAATCAACAAACACTGAACTTTTGAGATGGTTGATATGTTATTAATCGATCAGCTGGGCTATAGATAATCCAATCAGATCGGCAGACGTGATAAACGTGACAGCAAACTCGGAAAAAACACGGCAGCAGGGGTTCCGTTTCTGAAGGAAATATAAGTGCTATCCACCATTAACTGAGACATTACAACTAGTAACTCAGAGATCACTCCACAATGACACGCAGAGTTCTGTGAATGAGTTTAGCAGGCCTCTAGTTAAAGACGAGCGGAGCCGCTGCCAATAAAAACACATTACTTGAGATAAACCGAATAAATGAAATGAAACGTGACACCGAGAGATTAATGCGCGTCTGTCGAGCTTTCGCAGTAAAATTAGACTTAGTTAATGCCTGAAACGCTGAAAATCTCTGCATGTAAAGAGCGTGTTTTCAAACCCTTTGCGCTAATGCTAGCAGGCTGCTAGGCTAACTAGCTAGTTCGGCACTGGAGGTCATATTAACTGCTGTTAAAATCTTGCAACACCTCTAAAATACAGGAGGGCATACTTACGGTTCAGGATATCCCAGTCACGGTGAAGGGAGAGAGGTGCCCAGGGCATAGAGGAGCTTTTCCTCTGAACGGGCCCTCAGATGTTGGTTAGCCAGGTAGGCTATCTAGAGCTACGCTAAGCTAAGCTAGCTTCAGGGTCTGAACGTTTTTGAGCGACTCTTTCTCCGGGACAACGAGATCTGTTCCTTCGGGGGGAGAGTGAGCACGGACGGTTACATTGAATCGGACACGGATGAATACGAGCCGTGATGAACTAACGGAGATAACAGCGCAGACATTCGGAGTCAGTTCGAGACGTTTCTCTGTCCTCGGCTTGTTTACAGTCGAACCGTCGCAGTGACTCTGCAACAACGCACCCGCTGACGTCACGCTCCCGACAGCGAGCTGACGTCACTCTTCAAAATAAAACTATTTTATTTGTAGAAAAAGTGTTCACCCTCATTTCTTTATATTTGCTTCCAGGGAGCCAGAGTGTATTTAAAGCTTCACAGCGCTCCAGCTTTATGATGGACGGTTAAGGCTCTTGTTTAGACAATGGCTGCTTTTTACCCGCAAAGAAAGCTCCACAACACAATCTGGTACTTTCATTGTTGTAGTAACAGTTTTTATTATGCAGAGTATGTGTAAAATAAACGGAGTTTCGGTAACAACAGGCCTGCAGATGTGCATCTGTACTCTCTGAATGCATCAATGAAAGCGACCACTGAGAGGCAGCCTCTGCTTTGGTTTCGCCGCCCGAACCGCAGCTCCGTGTTTGCTCTCGGGGACTGCATAGTTGACTTTCTGCATGACCTGGGATTATTCATCTGGGTGTGTCATCTTCTGTTCAGCGCCCGGGGATGAAAAGGATCGTGAACTAAAGCAATCAAACCAGTTTTGGACCAAAGGAAACAAAAGGGGGGAAAACACAGCTGTTTTCAGGGCAGCCTGTTTGCAGTGATTTCACAATCTGTGGATTTCTCTCTCGTGTCCTCACTTACAGCGTGCAATGACACAGGCTGATAGTGTTTTGTTTTTGTTTTGTTTTTTTGTGGTTTGTTTGTTTGTTTGTTTTTAAATCAGGAATTCACCGTCAGAGGGATAAATAATATCCGTAGCATGTGAGTAACTTGGAAAAACAGAGGTTGTTATGATCAACATGGTAAAAAAGGAACAAAGTGCATTCACTCAAGCAGGATCACCTTTCTAAAAGCCAGCCCGTGGGAACACAAACTTCTGTCTGGAAATGAGACTAATATGTGGTGCGAGTCGGACTCTGAGGTTTGGGGAACAAAGATCGAGGCTGAAAGCTGCTGTGACCACAAACCAGCAAAGTCTGTAAACAACATGAACCAATGGCTGAAAACACTGCGACTGCCAAACCTGCAGCTCTTCACCGACTTTCAGAGCTACTGTACAGCCTCCATTCTCTCAGATTACACCGAGAAATAAAACATCGTATAGACCTGGTTTCATCCAGCTCCCAAGCAGCCTGTACAAACTGGAAATGAAGCCTCTAACATGCATTCTTATAAAGGCCAGCAGGGGGCGACTCGTGTGGAATCAGATTGTATGGGAATGTTTGGGAAAATATATCTATTTCTAACTTGACTTATGAGGATAATAAAGACTTTCCAGATGTGAGGTTATGGTTTTAAGTTCCAGTTTTGGGTTTAAATCAATACAATGTGAGACCAGTTTTGTAAACAAGTATGATTTGGGAAGTGTGCTGTCACCATAGTATAGTTTTGAAAATATAAACAGCACATTTATGCTGTTTATGTATATCTTTGTATAAATTATCTATGATTTGTTTTTAAATTATAAAATCTCTGGTGCACCGTGCTCAGCATCTCAGTCAAGTGTGATAAGAAATTAGATTAAATAGATTCATTTGTTGTTCTAAATTGCGCGTTATTGTGTGTCTCTCTGTGTTAGCCTGGCGACCTGTCCAGGGTGTATCCTGCCTCTCGACAGCAGGATCAGACTCCAGCCCCCCTGCGTCCCTGAATGGGATAAGTGAAATAAAATGCAGAGATGAATGAGATATAAACCTACTCTAATAAGAACGTGACGCAGTGTTTTCATGATTTTCACAACTTCAAATTTTGAATTTTGTTTCTGTTAAGACTGGTCGTCAGGGAGACCCTGCAGATTATTACTGAATGTAAATGCTGGCTGAGTGAGTGTGCAGCATCCTCTGTTCATCAGTCACATTTCACTGTCTAATGGTCCTTCAGCTAGCCAGCCACACAATTTCAGTAGCATTAACCTGAGCAAGCATGCTACTGTTAGCTACCTAGCCGTAACTTTGCTACACTGCATGAGTCTGGTGATGGTTAGCTCGTAGCACTAACTCAATTCCATTTTATTTATATAGCATGTCTTCATGTTTTCATTTATGTTGGAAGTGATAGCAGAGCTGTACGTTTGAATTTTGTCAGAAATCTCTCAGTCAGAACATGCTATATCATGTTTAGGTGGAAACTAGCGAGCTAACTTCCTGCTAACTTCTAACTCTGTTAAACATCATAAATCCTGTTTTCATAGATGTCTGGATGTTAAAGTTAATTGTTACACCTGGTAAAGCAGCAACGCTGATCATTTTATTAAAGATGAAAGAATTTAGACCGTTTTTAACTCTCAGTGATGCTGCAGTGTTCGCTTGACTTTGGGATCTGAAGCGGAGTTTGGACCCGGAAACGGCTAACGATGGCAGGCTTGAAGGCCGGATACTGTATGGCCCTGAGCTGAAACATCATTAAAATGTTGGGGAAAATGACATGATCGTACCTTCGTGCCTTCAACCCAGCGCAACACGCCAAGTTACGAACTTGAAAGGCGCACACCTGGATGCTGCACCACAAAGACTGTGTCCTGCGACACGTGTTGTGACATGAAAATTGGCTCGCTACTCCCACGACACAGGTGACGCAGTGAGCATGACGGCAATGTTAAGGAACAATAAGAGTATTTTAAAGATGTATGTGGCATGATAGACTTCCTGTACGTGTCCTTAAATCAGTCTGTGAAGAAGAAGCTCCATCGTCTGTCCACAAGGTAAATGAACCTCTTCTCATGATGGTCATCTTTCATATACAGTCAGTGCTTTTTCAGTACAAAAAACATAAATTCAATTTACAAATGTATAAACAATAAAAGTGAAAAAATGTTTAGTGATTTATTCAAACACATACAGACATTTGTCTTTAACAAACATTTAAAAAGTGTTTTGAAATTTCGTGCTTCATAGAACCAATAAAATGTGATTTAAACACTGTGTGTGTGTGTTCAGGTGTGTGTGTGTGTCTGTCTCTGTGTGTGTGTTCAGGTGTGTGTGTGTGTGTGTCTGTCTCTGTGTGTGTGTTCAGGTGTGTAGGTGTGTGTGTCTGTCTCTGTGTGTGTGTGTGTGTAGGTGTGTCTGTGTGTGTGTGTTGTGTGTGTGTGTCTCTGTGTGTGTGTCGTTGTGTGTGTGTGTGTGTGTGTGTGTGTGTGTTGTGTGTGTGTGTGTGCTGCTGTGTGTGTGTCCGCTGTGCTGTGGTGTGTTGTGTGTGTGTGTGTTGTGTGTGTGTGTGTGTGTGTGTGTGTGTGTGTGTGTGTGTGTGTGTGTCTGTCTGCTTTGTGTGTGTGTCTGTGTGTGTGTGTGTCTGTCTTGTTGTGTGTGTGTGGTGTGTGTGTGTGTGTGTGTTGTGTGTGTGTGTGTGTGTGTCTGCTCTGTGTGTGTGTGTTGTGTGTGTTGTCTGTCTCTGTGTGTGTGTGTGTTTGGTTGTGTGTTCTGGCTGTGTGTGTGTCTGTGTGTGTGTGTGTGTGTGTGTGTGTGTGTGTCTGTGTGTGTGTGTGTGGTGTGTGCTGGTGTGTCTGTGTGTGTGTGTGTGGTGTGTGTGTGTGTGTGTGTCTGTGTGTGTGTGGGTGTGTGTGTGTGTGTGTTGTGTGTGGTGTGAGTGTGTGTGTGTGTCTGTGTGTGTGTGTGTGTGTGTGTGCTGTGTGTCTGTGTGTGTGTCGTGTGTCGTGTGTGTGTGTGTGTGTTGTGGTCTGTTCTCTGTGTGTGTTGTTGGGTCTGTGTGTGTGTGTGTGTGTGTGTTTGTGTGTGTGTTTGTGTGTGTGTGTGTCGTGTGTGTGTGCTGTGTGTGTGTCGGTGTGTGTGTGTGTGTGTGTGCAGGTGTGTGTTGTGTGTGTGTGTGTGTGTGTCTGGTGGTGTCGTGTGAGTGTGTGTGTGTGTGTGTGTGTGTGTGTGCTGTGTGTCTGTGTGTGTGTGTGTGTGTGTGTGATGTGTTGCTGTGTGTGTGTGTGTGTGTGTGTGTGTGTGACTGTGTCTGTGTGTCTGTGTGTGTGTGTGTCGTGTGTGTGTGTCTGTGTGTGTGTGTGTGTGTGTGTGTCGTGTGTGTGTGTGTGTGTGTGAGTGTGTGTCTCTGTCTGTGTGTGTGTGTGTCTGTGTGTGTGCAGGTGTGTGTCTGTGTGCAGGTGTGTGTCTGTGTGTGTGCAGGTGTGTGTGTGTGTGTGTGACTTTTCCAGTCAGTGACTCTGCACCTGTTGCATTAGTGTCTCAAAGTTTACAGCCTTAAACATGAGAGCAGCGTTTGCTCTGCAGCAGTTACAGTCGGCGGGTTTTCACAGAGCAGGGACAGGAAGTCTGACTGTAAACGCTGACAGCCTGATGTCTGTGGCTGCTGCTCCGGTTTCCTCACTAAGACAACGAGGGGGAACTCCAGACAGAAGCCCACCGTCGTGCAAACATCCTCTAAGTCAAACCTCACTGATCAGAAGCAGCCAGGATCTTGTCTTCCTCTGTGATGTAGCTGCAGCACTTAAAGAAATAAACTCACGAACGGCACAGGCGGAATTTTTCTCAGCAAAAAGGTGAAAACCACACAGAGACCATCAAAGACGCGCTTCATACTCTCCGCTGCTTTCTAGAAACATCCTTCTTCAGAAGCAGCTGCGAGTGAATCTCATTTATGAGAACGGAGGGGAAAGTACTCCGACCCTGCTGAAAGTGAAAGATGCTGAATTAAAGAACATTTTGCAGTCGTACTTTGAGTCGGAAACTTTTGGTGCCAGCTGTGCTGCACACCACAAACTGGCTGCACTAAGCATAAAAATGGAGCAGTTCACTGCAGTTATTTGGCAGGTACACAAACATCCAAGACACAAGTACAAAAACAGAATAGTAGAAACACACACACACCTTTGTCTTTGTGTGTGTAAAGATAAAGATAAGATAAAGATTCCTCTATTGTCACTGTGCTCGGGCGCTGTACAGTGAAACTGGAGCTTATGTTTCAGCAGACTAACATACAGGATATAATAAATATAGCAAATATAAAAGTGTAAATACACACAAACACAATCCTGCTAAAAAGGATAAAATGATATCGCACTGGTTGAAGGCAGC